GGCTGAATGGTTGAAACAAAGGATAGCGCCGCTTTGTTCCTCCCATCGACGCGGAGGCTCTTTCGCACGGTCGCTCAGCCCGTAGGATAGGGCGTGTCCGCTCGCATAAGCGCTCCCTTCGGAACCAGTTTCACTTGTTTGTAAACACACGGAGGATTTCCATTCACCCGGAGGAATTCCGCCTCAAGACCACCTCTTCTCTCTACATTTCGCTCCTCCGCGCTCCATTTCATTACTTCTCGACGGAAACTCAGATTCGCCATTGTCGTTCGTCCAAAAGTTCCGTCGCCCGAAGTCGTCAACACGGCTCACGCTTTTCTACACCTTCCCTCTCGTCTTCTCGCTTTTCTGCTTAAAAACAATCGCCACGAACTCGCGAAGACGAAGATAAGAAAAAAAGAAGTGTGAACGAAAACGCCTCGGAAACGCGCGAGCAAAACCTCGGTCTGCAAATTGACTCGTAACGCTTACAGGAAATCCGTCGGCCTCCTCTCGCACCTTCGTGCTCGCCTTCGACGAAGCGAACACATCGTGCCGGCAGCCGCAAGGATATAATTTCATTTTCCGCTCTTTGAGCGCTTTGTTTTGCGAATTATTCACGCCTCTGTCGGTTCACGCTCGAAGATTCCTTTCCGAGGAAAGGCCTGTGTTCTCTCTCTCTTTCGCATTACAGCCCCTGCTGACTCCCCAAAACGACCAGTGACAGCTTAGAAGTAGGAAAATATAATTTTCCAGCGTCCAGTGAGCAATAAGAAAATTCGCGTATAAAAATAGTTTTGAGTCAGAAATGCATTTATATTGTTTTTGGTCAATTTTATAACATTTCACATGTAAATCACAAGAAAATAAAGTTACCGAGACGCGAAATCAATAAAAAAATCAAGTGGAGAATACTCTCTCAGGTGCGGATCTGAAATGGACTCCAAATAACATTAGGTGCTATCTGTTACGTGCGACCGCAGACAATCCCTTGCAAATAGACACCTCACGTAACCACGTCGGACGTTTATTGCCGAACGAAATCTTCCGTCCGCGCACGCCACAATTTAAGTTACCGAGTTCTCGCACTCTTCCCGGGAGCGGCGTGGCGGCATTGCACCGCGGAGAAAACACAAAGGGGTGTCCATTTGCCATCTGATAATAATTGGAAAAGTTATCGTCGGGATGGAGTTTTGCCCGCAACTAACATTTTCTCCACGAAACTATTCCCGGCCGATGTAAAATGGAGAAACTTTCGCATCAAGGAATAACTTCCGCCGCTTTTGAATGATATTACTTCTTTCCGCCCGCAAATTCCCGGGAAGTGCCTCCGCGCGGCTTCTCAGAGGGGCTTAAACGCGCCCAGTGATTTGTTTGGGCGAGAAAGGAGAGACAACAACCGCGCCCTTGTATATACCGCGTTACTCCCGAGCGGGGAAAACTTGGTTCGTGAAATATAGAATATTTAATCCGTCGAGTGGCGGTTCCGCTCGGCGGTTTCATTCCGAAACCGTATCTCGAGACGCCGGTGCAGCAGCTTGGTAGCACCGCGCAAGAACCACAAAGTGGTTTAGAGAACGGAACCATGAACCGCCGAAATGTTAAATGATAACAATCGTTTGGGCGAATTTGCGTCGAGAATCGAATAAACGATGAGAGATTCGGTTTGGCGACCCGGTTCTTCACGGAGTCGCATTAAGCTCGATTCACGATAAAGACCTCGCGAACGTTTGTAGAATGGGATTTTTACATCACGACGTCTCGGACACTCCAATCTCAACTTTAAAAGCGCGCTGAGTTCTTTTACGAATTCTTAGCCAAGTTTTCTAGGGAGAAAAAAAAGTATAAGGTTCACAAATTTCATTATATAAATAGAGTTATTACTAGTCGTTTATTATGGTTATGAAGGAAAAAGTTGGAGGAGTTCATAACTGCGAATTTTAATTTTGCGCCAGTGTAAAAACATCCGAATGAGTTGGTAGTTTGCGGCTAAAGTTGATTGCAGTTGAATCGTTCTCTCAAGTTCGTCCGTGACCCTTTTCAGTCGAACACATCGCGCGATTCTGAGAGAAAGAAAAAAAGGTGAGAAATGAAACTTTCTTTGTGAATTTGCCGAAATTATATGCCTACGCGATGTTTTTTCTCAGCGGAAAGGAATGACGTTCGAGCGAACGAGCTTACACGAGATTTGCAAGTATAAAATGTGAAAATTGAAAAAGTTTACCAAGCGTTGCAGGTACGAGATTGACTCCGAAGACAGATGTACGCTAAGACCACGGATATCGTTGGAAGATTGCCGGAAATCCGCGGTCTCTTACGAGAATTTCTTCGAGCTATATATGTTTCGATCTGTCTCGATATCACGGCAAATTATTCATAAGTGAAAGGTTTTGATAGAGAATCTTTAACGATGCGCAATATATTTGGAGACCGAATGAAGTCGATGGAAGCCGTTACATCATTTGGCTTTCTGGTAAAACGTAGTTTAGAGTTTCGAGAGAGGAGAGAGGTAGTGGCTGCTGCTCTTGAAGTCACGACTGATTCTACATACATTTGCGGGAATGGAAAATCGACAGATACGCCGAAGCTTATGCCCTGCGAACGGCGCGCCGCGAATCCGACGCTTTCATTACCCGAGCAAATCGAATTTCGCGAGGATTGTGTTACTTTGCCGCCTGCTATTTCCATTTTGGTCAACTATTCCACAAATATAATATCGTATATAGTATCGAATGTACGGTTTGTTTAGCGCTGCTTGACAGCGGTTAGGCGAAAAGGAACTGCAGCAATGCGTGAACGATTGGCGAGAACAACTGGAGCGGACGTGTGCATTGCGCCCGAATAAAATAACACTCGACAACTGCCACGGTTGTTTGTAAAGCTTCCAAGAATCTGTAGTAAACAATGTTTCAACAAGAAAGAAGAAAAGTGCACTGCGGATATTGTGTTGGCCTTATTGCGCGCGCACGCGTGTATGTTACTCAGCGTTTTAATATCTCGTAAAAATTGTCTATATTATTTTGTGTGTATTAATTTTCTCTTCCTTGCGCGATCGGCTAAAATACAAGATACCACGTGTATCCTGTTTTATTTAAATAATCGTTGCATCAATCGTCAATTGTGATCGCGTCGGGATCGCGTTATTACTTTCAATCGGCGCAGTTCGGACCGTCAATCGCCGCCGTATTGTGCCGGGTGTGCATTGACGAGTTGACGCATCATTACGGAAATTGTAAACGCTATGAAATTCTCACTCTCACCCGTGCCGGACGGCGGAATTAACGATCGGTGAACGATCGCGCGCGCGGCTTCGCATCACTTCAGTCAATCGGAACCGCCGACAGTGAGAGAGAGAGATGGTCCAATCAAACTTGGTATTCCGGCTGTGTTTCTATGTTGTTGCTGAGCCACATTTGGCCAAAAGTGATTTTTCGCAATCAATAACTTCGCTGTTTACGCACCTATATATCGTCGCTCCGCTTCGCTGCCCCGCGGGCCTCGCCGTTGTAATTACATTTGCACCGCGCGACACTGCGGCGCGAAGCTTTCAGAATTCTCCTGACGGAATTTCATCGATCCCGCGTCTGTCGCGCGCACCGCGATAGAGACGACGGCAACGCGGACGGCAAACGGGCGCGAAGTTATTGCGAACGGAGAGACAGGGCGGCGCGACGATTATTTATTGTTTCTTTGAGCGTTTAATTAAACTCGCGCGGCGTAACACGAGGGATGTGAGTAAATTTTACTTGTTTCACTCACAGAGAGAGAGAGACGTGTTTCGATCTTTTCATCTCACACCCGTGAATAGAAACGAAGATCACTTCCGCAATTTTTTTGTCATTTGTGTCGCTCGATACAGTCTGCGCTTTGCTAGAAGATAGAACGGTGATTTGATCTCTAGCTAATCTAAATCATTAAAATTATAAGCACACAAAAATTATTATTTTCGAAAAAAATGAATAGCTTGCATAACAATGACTTCGCATAAATATCTCGTTTACTGCGGGAATCCTAATTATTGATATTGCAACACAGTTGCTTTTACAGCTATTTTACATTGATATTTGATATTATTCACTTTCTCTAGCGCGGATAAAATTCCCGCATTATTTTTAATGATGGCAACTAAAAGCGGAGCAAGAAAAACAACAATTTAAAAAAACACACAAGCTTTTTGAATAATATAAATGTAAAATCATCAAATTTCTGATACCGATGTTTTGGCGATGATCTGAGGGTGGCGTGTCGCAGAGAGATGTGTTTTCGACTTTTAGAGAATTGAGGTTGTCCGGCTAGGCGCAACTATGCGGCACATCGTCGTTGCCGCTCGACATGCTCACCGAGGCGTAACACAGTTCGAGCCAGCGGAATTTCAAAACGGCGGACGCATCTGCCGCGGTGTCTAGCGCTACCGCGGCCGTGACACTGCACAAATGCGCGGCATCGGTTTTTCGCGCGTACACTCGCGGCGCATCGCGCCGCGCGAAAGAATCTTGGTGATGCGACGCGACGTGCCGGCGACGCAAAAAGGAAATGCATTTTGACACGGAGCACAACCAAGCGGAAGTTTAAATGCATTTCTAAAACCACGGGGAAACTTTCAGCGAGCCGCGCGCCTCGTCGTTGTCGTCTCCTCTGTCGTGGGAAAAATTAAAAAATATAACTTGTTAGAACCATCCTCCCGGTAGCGCGGAAAAAGTTTGATCTTGTATTCAAAAGAGTCTTCCAAGTAGAACACACTTCCCGCGCGAAATGTAGTACGTCGTGACTGTCTAATTTTCTATTTTTCTTCATGCGCATTGCTTTTATCTTTCTTTGTTTTATTTTCTCTCGCGGATTTTCACATTTTTCTCATTCAACATTTCCACACACCGAACGCATTTTATTTTTTTGATTAATTTTGTTACATCTGATTTTATTAAATATAATTTTTCAACATATTTTTTGTGCAACAAGATTTATTTTTCGTTCTGTGATTTTTCAGACACCGACTAATTAATTGGAATTTTTCTTTGTTTCAGATATGAAACTGTTTCCAAAACTATCGAATCGCGTTATGTAAGGAGTAATTGGAAATCGCAAATGTGAGAAGGGTAAGTCGTTATTTTGATATTGTAATGCAAATCTTTTTATGTGAAGAAATGTAAATATTTCTGAAAATGATCGCAGTAATAATCAGTTTTGGCACTGTAATCGTATTTTATCTGTACAAACGAAGTAACGTAGTGCATTATCTCCCATACACACGCAAACACACACACACAGCGATTATAGATAATGATTGATTGTTCGCTTATTGAACTCATTACGATAATAAACCGATATGTTTATCATGGATTTATATACATTAACGTAATATATTATTGTTAATAAATAATTCTTTCTGCGTGATCAGTAATTGCATCACATATTGCATCCGGATACCGAGCGATTTCAATTATTCATTTATTAAAGTGCATCTTGTCTAGTGGGAGCAATTAGCAGAAATCGTTTTACGTTAACCGCATTTTCTGTTTTTCTGTTACAGGACTCCTGACACTATCGCGACTTTTCTCTCTACTTATTATCAGACGCATTTCTTACTATTGCAATGTACCCGTAATACGGTGTCCGAATAAAGTAAGCGGTTATTCGTATTTTTGAGAATCGTGATAGCTTTGTAGTGTGCAAATGTAATTAGCGCGAGGAAAAAAAAGAAACGTTTGGAGCATACTACCCTCGTAACTCGTATTGCAACGAAGTAAGTTTTTCCTCTTTCTACTTGATGCTAGTTTAATCGAATCGATCGATTTATTCAAGTTTTTCGGTAATTCTCTCTCTTGTTTAATCGAAAAAAAAAAAAAAACACGAAGATGGATGTACATAGCGAGAAGTTTGTATATTTGTAACATAGATAGGGCATTTTATTATAAATATATATATATATATAAACACAATAAAGTTATTTATATATATTTTAATCAGAAGGTAAGCGTTACTTCTTTTTCTCATCTCCTAGCACATTTATTCTCGCGCGATTCGTTGCCGTCGTCCGTCGTCTCATTGTCACGACTGAAGACGGCAGCTGGGATCGTTCGAAAGATCGCGCGACGCTTAATTTAAAATTCTATCAACGTTGTGTATAATGTATATCCATTTGTACAGAGTGCGCGGAAGCATTGATATCATTAAGGCCGGCGCGTTTTCACACGGCGACTCCGGCCGAACTCGTTTGTTCACACGAAACGCGGCCAAGCTTCTCCGTTTTGTGTAACGTCGATCATGCACGGCGAAGTCCCGGCGCCAAAAGCATTAAATATTATTACGTCCGGCATTATATTTGCCGACGTGGTGTTCCACAGCGCACGTCGATGATTAATAGGGATACTCCGCGTAGCGTGACGTCGAGTAATATGTGCGCATTGTAATAATGACTAGTGCGAGAGGCATAAATTCGCGGATGGGTTAATTAGTACAAATTACTGCGGTATCAATTCTCGCCTACTATCGCAAGCAGTTCGGCGTGGCGTACTCGAGCGCGCGCGCGCGCGCGCGCGAATGGTAAATTAATTCCATTAAGTCGTGTCTCTTATGCGACGCGATGTAGAGAGCGCCGATTAAAATCGAGACTGTATATGTAAATATTAGTTTCTTATTGTATCGATGTACCATAATTGTATTTTAAAAAAAACACGAATGTTTCCCCCCTTTGTAAATGTTGCCCCCTGCCGGGCAGCAGCAATTAACGAAGATTACTTGCGTTTTGCAATAAAAAAAAAAGACTACAATCACAATGGCGTCCTTGACTTAACCCGAACAAGTGCTTCACTGGAAAGAACATTTGATCGTCTTTTTCCACTTGATCTCTTCAAGCATTATTTCTTCAGAATTGTCATCATTAGTTCGCAGTAACTCGTTTTTAAATAAAGTCAAATAAAAAAATTGCGTTTATATTTGTCTAGTCAATTTATTTTACAGAATTATCAAGTTTTCTGTTGAAATAGAATGTGAGAGGATGATTATGTAACAAATGGATTAAGATTTATATTTCTTTAGAAAATATAAAATATACTGCTGTGCGATGTTTTTATTTCGAAATATTCACATACATTTTTATATGTACACACACGTCTCTTTTGTAACACGTTACGACGATAAATGCCTGACGCAGCTATTATGACAACTTGACACATGGAAAGCTGTTTGCGCATCTGGAAAAGCGGAGTTTTATTTGTGGAATTATTCGGTTCAAGCAGATCCGGAAAGCTGCAGAGTCGAGGAGTACACATAGATGGAAGTTACTAACGTCGCAAGAAGAAATTCGATGTCTTTAATCCTGCTGCTATCGACAGCTTTATCCAGCTAAGCCTCGTCTTTTCTATGTTTTTGACGATCTGCTGCTTTGATAGATTGCACGTAAAATAACTGCTAGTGCAAATCCACGTGACACATGACGAATAGCGCGATTACCTAAGTTCCTTAATTGAAACAGTCGAGAATTGTAGTTTTTAGTGTTTCGCGATTGTATACCATGCGCAAAACACATTCACAATTGTAACGACAACATATTTTAACGTACAGTCGCAAAATTTTGTAATGATTCTGTATTTTGCATGACTGATTATAAATGCAAATGGCCGTGATGACGTCGCAAAAAGCTGAACGAGAGAAATGAGACCGAAGAAGACCAAAGAAGAATTCATCGAAAAAAAAGAGAAAAATCTATATAGAATAAAAAGAATAATTCTCCCTTTGTGTCGGCTTATAAAACGAGACATGCGAATCGCTCTCGCGATATCTGCGAACGAATGCAACGCGAGATCGATCGCGATACAATGGCGACAGATCGCTTCTTCGTGCGGGCTCACCTTTTGGCTCTCCGATCCTCGTCTCTCTCTCTCTCTCTCTCTCTCGCCCCACTTTTGGTTGCCATTTGTGTCGTGCAATGGAGTGCACTGGTCCTGACAGCACTTCAGTCCCCTGCTTTCCCTTTGTCCGTCGTTTCACTCCGACAATGAGACTCGTCGGCTTCGCGATATGAATGAATCCTTCCTCTCCTCTCTTCTGGCCCGGGTACATCCCCCTCAGGCTGCAAGTGCTGCAGGTCTCGCGCGCACATCCGATTCCCGGCGTACCGGGAATACCGTGAGCGCCCAGAGCACTGCTAGCGCCCGCTCATATTTCCTCCAATAAAGTCAAACGACCTCGGGCGTGACCCCTTCCGGTGAATCAACTGGCGATTCGTCCATATCGGCACCTCAGGCGTCTCTCTCAAGCGGTACGTACATCTCATCCGAATGCGATATTTCACAAGACTATGAGAATGAACTTCTGAGAATTGTTCTTTCGAAATATCATTAAGTAGTTTTATTGAAATTTCGTAATATAAATCAACGAATTTTCACACAATCGTTCAAATCGTTTGAGTCATTTGAAAATTATTGTTTTTGGAAGTAGTTGGTTTAATTTTAATTAAACGCAATACGCATAAAATGCCATGAAGAGCAATCTCTTTATGGCCTCTTAACCATTTTCCTCTGTTTTTGTATCGCGAAGCGCGCCATAACTATTGTTAATTATCACAATACATGAATTTGAATCTATCAACACATTTATCGCTTCAATTAAATGGAATCGCATCGTTCCTCTAAAAATATAGACAATTGAGATAAGCGCAAAGATGTTGAATTGCTTGTATATTTATTGTCGTCTGACAAATAAATGATTAGGTACTTCAAACGCCATTAAACGACGTAAATATATCAGCGCAAATTGTATTATGATAAATCGACACATTATCGAAGATAAATATGTCCAGGCACAAACAAAACCGATATTTCACGAAAGAGCACGCTATATATGTATGTATGTAGAAAAATTGTAGATTTATATGTACGTTCCCATCTAATGGATTCTATTAAGCTTTTCAAAGTTTTTTCAGAGAGATGCGCGCTTTAACGTTCACGTCGATTTTGTTATTCGCCTGATCCATTAGCGCTCGACGTCACGCACGATGTGACGCTCAATTTTTGCCAATTGCAAATCTTTTTCTGCCCGCGAGACTCTACCGAAATGCCCGTTGTTGCCAATTCGGGTAGAAGAGAATATTTCACGGCGCGTAGTCTTAGACGAAGTGAGCGCGACACAAACTATATTAATACCGCATAAAACGGGAAGGAAATCGCAGCGAAATTTATGCGGTTATTTGTCCCGCAGGTGGCTGTTATGTGCATTAAGACGAACGTACTGTGCGTCGGTCTATATATCTTCTCTTTGGCTGGGTTTTCTTTTCGCTTTCTTTTTCCTCCGTTCTTTTTTCCCTCCTTCGCATTCGGCCCCGATAAGGGACTCACGAAGGGTTACGCGCCGTCGTCGTCCAGCGCAGTCGGGAAATGATATCAAATAACAAGGCAGCCATTTTTTCTTATTTCCGGCGAAGCACGCGAATACTGATTTATTTCATGGCACGCGACGTCACCGACGCAAAAGTATATTCTATTTCCTCGACGTCGGCTGATCGTAGCTCGAGATACAGACAGATATGGCGGGTACAGGGGCATCTCCGTCTCGACGGGCTTGACGCTGATGTTCATTTAATGATAATATCGACTATTGCCATATCCCTCTCTTCCCCATCTTCCCCTACCTCCTTTTCCCCTTTTATCATCCATATCAGAAACCTCTTTCAATCGGAAGATCAAGACTCTCGATATCCAGCGCTTACGTCTGCGTCTCCGTCTTATATTTGTTCCGTTTACGTACTGTACGACCGCCATATCTGTAGCATTTCAGCAGGATGCGTGATGAACGATCTTTCATTATCATTACGTCCGCGCGGATAACTCAATCTGATCGATCTCACGTCGATCCGGCCGTTATTAACTGACACAATAAAGAAGGCTAGGCGACTTCGCTGGAGCTACTAAAAGTTGCGCGAAAGACTAATTAAGACGAGGGCAATCATTATGCGGTATAAAGAACGGACGAGATTAATTGCTGAAGTTCCGCGCTTGCATGAAGCAGGAGTCAGCAAAGAGCGCGCGCACTTTCTCTCTCTCTCTCTTTCTCTCTCTCCTTTTCGTTTGCCCGTGAGCGTGGCGCAATAATAGCGCAAATTGCAACGTAATGAATGCAGTCTGACAGAAAGTAACGAAGCTCGTCGTTCGCCACTTCTCTATTCCACTTGTGACATGATCTGCAGCAAACGAGGACGGCGGCTAAGCACACGGATGCGTGTAAAGCGTGTGCGAATGTTAAATCTATGTATCCTATCTTTCTTGTCCGGTCTGCATTCTCGCGCATTAATTAATCTCTTTGTTAACACGCTTACATACACACACACAACACCTGTGTGTGTGTGTGTTTTCATTTTTAAACATATAACGTATAATTATTTTCTCCATAAATCCAGTGTCGAAGAGAGATAAAGTTTGTCACGCTTGACATAAAATATTCAGCATTTTGAATAAACAAAAATGACGTCACAAATTGTTAAATAAAATTAAGATTTTTTTTTAATAATTTGCGTAGCCTAAACTATAATTAATTTGCTAAAATTAAATTTGAAATTCTTTGCACGCAAGACAGTAAGAAATAAATTTATGGAAGAACTAATGTTACTGTCATAAAATAATAATGCGAAGAAGAACTTGGCAACTACAGTTTGTATCGACAACAAGATCGCGAATCTACGCAAAATCGCAAATAATTATTTACGACAATCACTAGCGCAAACTCGCGCTTCATTAGGAAGCAGGAAACGAGGAGGAATTGAATTATTTAGGAGGATTAATGCACTCGTAGCGTCGTTACCGCTCGAGTTACCATAGAACGCGCGTAGATATTACGTCGGCGAAGTACACGCTGACGTTCAAGAGATTTTCCGGCAAATCCGCGAGTTTGGATCCAAGAAAGGGAGAGAGAGTGCGAGAAGTCCGTGTCAGAACGCGCACATCACAACACAACATCTTTCACGTTCCTCCTCCTGTAATCTTCTTAGACATATGCATCGCATAACGGAAGAAGAACCAATTGCATAAGGCACGACTTAATGTAAGTAAAGCGAGGAGAGCGAAAGAAAGTAATTGTCGCACATATTTTCTCGCCGAGAATTACGTCAAAATAAGAGAAGTGTAAGGTTGCGATTGTTTTGCAATTGAATCTATACATCACTGATAAATGTTATTACAGAAAGAAATTGATTATTTGCGTTTATTTCGCGGTTTAAGCGACTTGCAAAGAGCGTCGAAAATAATCGAGCTCTCGACGAGGTTTGCTTCCAGTTTGTTGCATTTGCAGCTTCGTGCAAGAGTTGCCGTTATGTAGTTGTTGGCCGAGAGAGAGAACATAAAAGCAACAGTGTCGCGGAAAAAAAAGAAAGCGGACGCGGCGTGACACCTTTTTCAAAGAGCAAGAGGATGCGAGCGGTGCAAAGAAAAAAAAGAAGCACACGAGGGCCGGAATACCGAAAGTTTGTCACTTTGTCAGGGAAGAAAATATCTCCATCAACGCTCTCTAGTAGCGCTCCTTACCGCGTTCCACATTAACACTCTTGCGACTTATGCAATTAGCTCGTCGCACACGCGACTTTGTTGTTCTATAATTCTGCTTGGTGGTGGTTTTTCATAATTAGATTTTATACTCGCAACATTTTGCGCTATTTATCTGCGCGGAATAAGGTATCTGTTGTATTTCT